CACCCCCAGGTCCTTTTCCGCCAGGCAGCTTTCCAGCCACTCTTCCCCAAGCCTGTAGCGCTGCATGGGGTTGTTGTGGCCAAAGTGCAGGACCCGGCACTTGGCCTTGTTGAAGCTCATACAGTTGGCCTGGGCCCATCGATCCAGCCTGTCCAGGTCCCTCTGCAGAGCCTTCCTACCCTCGAGCAGATCAACACTGCCGCCCAACTTGGTGTCGTCTGCAAACTTACTGAGGGTGCACTCGATCCCCTCATCCAGATCATTGATAAAGATATTAAACAGAACTGGCCCCAATACTGAGCCCTGGGGAACACCGCTCGTGACCGGCCGCCAACTGGATTGAACTCCATTCACCACAACTCTCTGGGCCCGGCCGTCCAGCCAGTTTTTGACCCAGCGCAGAGTCCACCTGTCTAAGCCGTGAGCCGCCAGCTTCTCGAGGAGAATGCTGTGGGAGACGGTGTCAAAGGCCTTACTGAAGTCCAGGTAGACCACATCCACAGCCCTTCCCTCATCCACTAGACGGGTTACCCGGTCATAGAAGGAGATCAGGTTGGTCAAGCAGGACCTGCCTCTCATGAACCCGTGCTGGCTGGGCCTGATCCCCTGGTTGTCCTGCACCTGTCTTGTGAGCGCCCTCAAGATGAACCGCCCCATCTACATATAGATGCAATCTGAGGCAGATACAAATGTAAAGAACAAGTATTTACATTCTTTTTCTTGTTTCTAAATCACAAGCTTGTACTACTTCATCTATAAAATATTTTCAAGGAAAGGGGTGGGGAGACAAAGCTGACCTTGAGGCAGCAGGTTGAAATAATGACTATTAATACTGCAAGTATTAATAATGTTTTGCAGTCAGATATAGAGCTGTATATTAAATGTGGCCGATACGCTAGTTGCAACTACGTTTGCTCAGCTGAATATCTCTGCACACTGACAAAGACAAACCAGATACTGCCAACTGGTGTAGGCTTGGTTGACCTTTTGGTAAAACAAGGGTAGTACAAACCAAGAGCTTCTTGAAATAAATGGTTCAATGCTACAAATGAGGGAGAAATGCTCTAATTTACTGAAAGTATCATCTGTTCTAAAATATTCCAATATTAACATCTTAAAAATATTTTCATTTTCAAACACAAAACAATACAAACATATTAATGAAAACACATGCAATATTAAAAAGGAAAAAGAAGCATTTCCATTGAACATGGGAATTGCTACCATGTATGACAAAACATCGTCATGCACAAAAATAGCTTCTGCTATCAAACTCCAGAGGCTAATCTTAAAAAGAAAAGTCTTTTCTACCGCTTTACAACTCTACTGCTAGTTTAAAGCTGTTTTTTCTTAAGTTTAGATGATATTTTTAATTACCAAATGAACGTAAGGGGAAAAATATCAACAAATAAAGAAAGTTTCAGCAACAATATTTTTAGAATGTAAGAGTAAGATCTTACAAAGGTAAGTGATCTCTGTATATTAATCAGTGAAAAAGTAAATGCACAGGAGCCACCTGATTTTTTGGTAGATACAGAAAAGCAGTATTCAGAACATTGTATGGCAACTCTTATTCCTGGATATGAAGTAACAAGTTACCCATATAAATGACATGAATTGCTATTTTATTAACAAATGCAGTTTTGGATTAAGTAAAAACACACTTACGTGAGAGGTTTTTGTTTCCACTGTCATTTAGATAATGGTGTGACTACTGGTCATTGGAACACGAGCCTTCAATTAACAAAAACTGAGAATACTCAGAAACCACTGATTTTGGTTCTATCATTTACTGCTTCAATCTTTAATCAAAATTGAATCTGATTTAGTTTTAACAGTTTGTTTCTTTATGAACTGGCAAACAAAAGCATGATTTTTGTAGGACAAACTATTCAAGTCTCTCCCTCTCGCCCATAAGTAATGTATTTTTAAAATTCCTAAAACTAATGTACTACTACAAAATGTAGTATTTCAAATCATGCTGAAAAGATTATTAATAGAACTGCAGCATTATTCTTCCTTATAAACCCAAGTGTACCGGGTCTGCCTGGGATGGAGTTAATTTTCTTCATCGCAGCCTGTGCTGTGTTTTGAATTTGTGCCTTGAACAGTGTTTGTAACACAGGGATGTTTTACCTACTGCTGAGCAGTGCTTGCACAGTGCCAAAGCCTTTTCTTTTTCCCCACTCTGCCCCCCCAGCAAGTGGGCTGGGGGTGTGCAGGAAGCTGGGAGGGGACACAGCTGAGACAGCTGACCCAAAATGACCCAAGGGATATTCCATGCCATATAAATGTGCTCAGCAATAAAAGCTGGGGAAAGGAGGAGGAAAGGGGGATGTTCAGGGTTATGGCATTTGCCTTGCCAAGTGACCACTACACGTGACAGAGCCCTGCTTTCCTGGAGATGGCTGAACACCTGCCTGCTGATGGGAAGGAGTGAATGAAATCCTTATTTTGCTTTGCTTGTGCGTGCAGCTTTGCTTCACTTACTAAACTGTCTTTATCTCGACCCATGAATTTTCTAGTTTTTGCCCTTCTGATTCTCTCCCTCATCCTGCTGCGGGGTGGGTGAGCTAGCAACTTGGTGGGGACTTATCTGCCAGCAGGGGTCAACCCACTACACCATGCACAGCAAATTAAGTAAGATCCAGTTAAACCTTTCTTCAGAACTCTCTTCCTTGTTCTTATTGTTGAGAATCAAAGCTATCTCACCGAGAAATGCACTGAAGTGGGAAGAGGCTGTTGACTCTGTTAGCATACAAAGGTCACATCAGCACAACTGATGTCTGCCAGCTTAGCAAATGCAATTCCTACATTGCTGTTCCATTTAATGCTTTGCCAACTCAAGTGCTACAGTGACAGAAGTTTCACAGTGTGTTTTAGTACACATAAAAGTTCTTACAGGAAAGCTTTTAAGTCATAGGAAAATTAATTTTAACATTTTTACTTTGAATTACAGAGTTATTTTAGAGTTGTTCTTTGGAGTTCTTTTTCACGTGTGTAAAATGTTTTTAGGGTTATGCAGTACTCCAAAAGTGACTAAAACATACTTCCAAGAAAGCTACTGGAAGTGACAGATAGCCAGAAAGACATTTAATTCTACAAATTTAGACCACACAAATTTATAGCAGGTAACAATACCTGAAACATGGAAGAAAACAAATTAGAAATATGCAAGATGATGCAACTAAAAAACGGAATGAATGCCTTTTTCACTCCATTTGTCAGGCTATGTAAGACAGCTTTTTTTAAAAAAACACTAGTAGTATCAGGGATGAAAAGCATTTCTGATACCATCTGTGACATTGTGAAAAGCCATGCAATAGCTCAATGCTACTCAAAGTGTTATAAGCAATATAATGTTCCTTTGTAGATTCTAAAACTGAATTAACAGCTTTGATTCAAGGAACCTTGACCAGGAGTTTCTGCATCAAACCTATTTAAATAATAAATGTTATTTATATTAAAATTATACTCAATATTGATTTGAAGATCTCAAGTGATGGAAGAACTTCTATGTTCTTTGGCAGTGCATTTTTAACTACAAGGACAGCGTATCAGTTTTATTCCACCAAGTTGTCCCAGCAGATTAACACAGTGATGAGTGAGGGCATCCAATTTCTTGTCACTAATTTTATTCTGGTACTTTTAAGATAAAGTAAATTCTACCTAACACAAGAAAGCAAATGCACTTCCTTCTTCTTTTTTTCTGATGTAGGTTATAATAGGCCTGAAAAGTGAAATACCTTCAGAGTACGTAAGCCAAGGAAACCAGTAATGCAGAATTGCAGCATGGATTTTCTCACTTAGAATACGACACCTGTTTCTGGATTGCTCTTTTTTTACATACACACACGCGTGTGTGCGCACACACACCATCCCCCGCCATAATTGTGCAACAAATCAGCACTAGAAGAGAGGAAACATATATAGGTATCTTCCCTCCACTAGTGCTGATTTGTTGCAATCCCTTAGAATCACAAAAAAGGATAATCTGATTATAAAAAACTAAAAAAATAATAATAATTGCCCACTTTTACTACTTAGAAAAGAATGTGTTAGATATGCCCCCCCCCCCCTTATAGATCCCCCCCCCCCCTCAAATTAAATTATTGATCTGGTTTTATTTACAGATATTTTCACTGGAGAATTGCATGGAAGTTTGGTTTATCACAATTGGCATGTTTGTTTCTTCCCACGAGCTAACATGCTTGTGTAAGCTGGGGAACATGGTCACCCCTTTACACTGTGCTATAAAACACTTAATTTCTGTGCCCATGCAGATAGTATGAATACCCAAAGTCATTCCTTTCATTTAGGTTTCTGAACGGCCTTACGTTTTTCTTGCCAGTGTGTTGCCTCTTAAGCAAACAGCTTTTAAAAAACAAAACTGGTAACAATGACTCACACCCTTAATCTGAAGACAGGAAGGAAAATTTTGCACCCAATATGCTATATTTAATGACATGGAAATGCTGTGGTTTTATTTATGCATTTCTAAAATAATTAAAAAAGAAGGAGAAAAGAAAACACAGTTTTGCCTGCATAGCTGGGGAGGATCTGCTCCTCTGGCTTTCCGAATGACCTTTGCAACTATGTCATGGAATTTTAAATGGAGTCTCTGAATATATGGAAAAATCAGTGTATCAAGTTAGTATAACAAAATTGAGAATGCAGAAAATGATAATGACAAGTTTTGAATGTAAAAATATGGTATTTTGTTTTAGAGTTTGTTTTTGCCAAAAAAATGCAAAGGGAAAGAAAATGCAATATATAAATATGAAGTTAAGGAATAAGGCTGTAAGAAAGAACATACAACACTACAGATATTATGAGGCAACAAGCTGCTTTTTAATGCTAGAATTCGTATCTGCAGCAATATTGTACACTACAGTGCATAAGATCAAAGTGGGAAGACAACAGGCATCTCGGTTTTGTGCCGGAAGTACAATTCTTATATGTGTATATAAAGAAAACAGAATCTAAACAAGAAGTAGGTCTCTATGTTTTATGTTGTGTTTTATTCTTTAAGTTTATTTTTCATATATGTACTACAATCTATCTGACACAAGCGATTGTTCTGCTTATGCAAAGAACGGTTTATGAAAAAGGTATGGCTTACAGTGCTGGAACTTGTCAAAAGAAGGCATAGTAGAAAAAAGAAAATGGTGCCTAGACTTAAACTGCAGATTCAACACCAGGAAACATATGAAAGCAGCCTCATTTTCCAAAGAAACAGAGTGGCCACTGACACCAACTGAATGCAAGCCTGCTTGGTGCTCAGTACCTTTGAAAAGGTTGTTTAAATATAAATATGGGTATAGAAGCCTAATTTTAGGCACTTTTTTAATATCTTGACCAAGGATAAAAGGCAGCACTGTTTCAGAATGTCTTGCTTTGATAGCCCTCAAAAAAGGTAGGAGGTCTGGCTAGGTAAGATGAGTGAAGCTCTCATTATGTTTAATCTTTCTGCTTTCTTAACATAATGAAGAACTACTAGGTATTATATTGAAAGTGCTTTTTTCTCTGGAATACTTGATTTTCTATTGTTGTTCTGTTATTGTATTGAAAAAGTGAATGAAGTACGTATTTATTCTGTGCTTTCACAATAATTTAAAAGAGAACACACAGACAGCAGTAAGTTTGTATTTTATGTGAGAATCTAGAAGTCAAAGATGTTTTACAACGCGTCTAGCTTCTGAAAAGAAAGAGGTAGGTATAGAGGACACTCAGTATCTTTCAGGTCAATGTCCTGCTGGTCAGCAGGTCACAGAACAGCAATTAAGTTGCCTTCAATTCCATTTTTATGAAAAGACCTAGGGAAGATACCAAATGAAACTAAAGGACTTGGGAAGAAAACTAGGGCATTTATTAAAATAAAATAATGCTTATCTGTAGAAAACAGCAAAAAACTATTAGTTTCGTTAGCTTTCTCCTTCCAACATTCCCTGAATACAATCACTGTAAAATAAGATAATCACCTCTTTCGTTACACCTTATTGTTTGACAGGATGTGTTAAGCTGGTGTCCCTAATGACTACAGTAATACCTGCTGGTAAGGGCATGTGAACATCTGAATGTAGCCAACAAGCTACTCATGACTCGTTTCTTCTCTACAGATCAATATGAGAATCTTATGGATCAATTCATTTCCCTTAGTGGAGCAAAAACCAGCATGCTTCACAACAAAAGGCAGCTATAACAAGCAGCTGTGATACTTACATATAATTCCTCACAAAGGAATGAACAAAGGAACGCCTTTAAAAAAAATATGTCGGTCTTCATTATTTTAAAGTATAAAATTCATACTCACATCATTTTTTCTATTCAATTCTCTATGGGAAAGTACGACCCAATCTGCTAGAATATTTATGTGTTTGGTAAAAAGCACTGAGGTTTCGCTTCCCAGCCAAAAGGTCTTCAGAAGAACTGTCTGTGGCATGACTTGCTGATGCTGTGAATTGGACCCTTCAACCAAACTGTAAAAAATACAAAGTGAAAAAACTTACATCTTTATGCCACTTTGATTACTATAGTTACCAGACAGAAACCTTGTCTTCTGTCAAAACACACACAGGTTTGGCAATTTTTAAGTATGGAAAGATCAGACACAATTTCTGATGAATAATAAGTAAAATAATGATGACTATTACAGTCAGACTGAAGGAATTCTAATATTGTGCTAATATTACATAAAGTAAAGGCTGCCTTTACTATATAAAGGCAGAGCAAAACCAAGACTTTTTTTATACTTCATAGACTAAGGAAAGATAATTGTCTCCCTAGCAAAAGATAACAGTTAACTGAATTTAAAAAAAAAAAAAAATCAGTATGTTCAAAATGCTGCTTGTCTACCTTGAAGAATGAATACTGAAGCTTAACAAAGCTAAAAATACAACTTTATGAGCAAAACTAAATGCTTACTGAAACTTGTAATATAGTGAAATAATAGGCTGGGAAAAGTTAGAAGCCTTAAAACATGATTAGAAAAAACCCTATACAAATTACAATAAACAAAGAATTGAGAAATATAAAAGGAAATGCTTAACTGCCATCTCTGTAGAACAGGGACATAAAAAAATCAGGATACAACCTGCTGTAGATACAGAAATGCATGTGAAATTGTGAAAAAGTAATAAGAAAGTATTATACTATAAAACCCACCTTTTTGTCAGAAACTCTACTTCAGCTTTTACTAAATCAAAGAAAAACTTCAATAATGTTTTGTGAACTACCCTCTGTTCATCTTCTCTCCCTGAAACTGGGACTGCATGACAAATGGTTTTGCAATAAAGGCAAGACCTGAAAAATAAACACCAAAAAATCCATTTGTATGACAGAAATCATAGTCTGATCTATCGGCGAAAAAGTCAGCTTTGACTTTTGACAATTTTGACAAGGAAATACCTTGCTCCCCAGCAATGTTCTTAATTTTTAAACTTAACTTTCTGGCTTTTAAAGCTGTATTTCCCCCCCAAAATTAACATGTTTGTGATTGGGGCTTTGTGTTGTTGATGAAGATTTTGTATTACAGTGCAAACTAAATAATTTAACCTTATTTAATTTTTCAGTCTCTACTTGAGGTACCATACAATTACTGAATTTAAGAGAACTTCTTTAAAATGCTTTAGTTACAAGGTAGTCTTGTAATATTTTATAGACATTGTAACATCCTACAAACCTTGGTTCAGATAACAGTTCACACCTACTATTTGACAGGATTACAGTTTGTGATCAAGTCTAATGAATGTCTAACACGATGGAGTTGATTTTGAAGTAAAGGATGAACACATTTTTTTGGCTAGAATTTTGAGTACTGGAACCACCAGCTATACAACTGCTGGGTATTCACATTCTGCCACTAAGTACTGAAAGATAAAAAAAATACTTTACCTAAAAGATAAATTATTTTCCATTCCATGTGACATGTTCCTAATAAAAACTATTAAATGTCCAATTACAGTGATTCAAGTACAGTGATTCAATGACCTTCCAAGACTACAGACATGCTTACAATCATACACATTCATATATCTGTAATCACGGTTGTATCGAAGTTTTTAAATGTTACTTAAGATTTTATGACAGTAATAAGAAGAGGTACAATTTCTCCTCCAAATGAATGGAAGAATTAATTTCTATTGATGTAAATTACAAAAAATGAGTTCTCAAGCTAAAGCATAGACTAACTACCCAAACAGCTCGTATGTACTGAGTCTTGTATTTGTAGATGTATAGGATATAATCAGACTTTCTGAACAAGGAGGTAAAGTTTATGATTAAAATCAAAATACAACATGAAGCTTCATGTTTGGTAAGATAAGACTGGAATTTGCTTTGTAACTGCAGATATATGTGTGTGTACATATATATATACACATCACAACAGCAATAATACATAATTATAATTTGTGGAAAGCTTAAAAAATAAATCATTTTTAAAAAAGGAAGGACAAGAAAATGTGTTCATTTCTTCCTTTCCAAAAAAAATCCTTCTGCCTGTGAGCTAACACATACTGAAACATAAAGTGAAAGGTCCAAATCTCAGTTACAATTCTAGACCTTCACATACAGTTAACTTGTTCTGGTCAAAATGTGGCTTTGATACAATAGAATTCCAACCCACCTTCCCCATCCCTGAGTTTGGATTAACATAACAACTATTGCATCCAACACCTCATTAAACTTTCTTACCTTACAAGCACCTCTATCAAGGACCATGTGCCTTTCTTACAGACAGGACACTGAAGAAGATCCAAATAATACTTTAACATAGACGGGGACTTCCAAGGAGGATCATGTTGGAGAACAAGGTACAAAATGTGATGAAGTTTAGCATAAAATATCGCATCGGTATTTCCCTGTAATAAAATGAGAAAATAATATTGGCTCTATACTGGCCAAAGATGCATAATCACTAAAAGTTTATATATTTTCTTTATTCCTTACAATTCCAAGTGACCACATTTAATCAGTGAAGTAACATGCAACTTAATGCATAACTACAAGCAGCAAAATTCAGAGTTTACAAAAAAAAGGAAGGAAAAAAGGAGAGCTTGCTCTAGTGATATTCCACCTGAATGCATCACCGCTTAGAACAAACCTTCTTCTCAACTGAGCTCTCTATCTGCGGCCTACTAGGTTAAAAAAAAAGTTACACAAGTGCTGTTTCTTAAAGCAACAAAAAAAATTTCTGGGCCAATTCTTCCACAATATTTAGAGCACTACATTCATATGGCTTCTAAACAAATAATAATAATAATAATAAAAAAATCCTTAAGTATCAAATTCTCCCCTTTTTAACACAAACACATTGATGAACACAAAGTGAAGGGTGAATACATCACTAAAACCCACTAAATACAATGTCAGAAGCAAAGATCATAATACTTCCATTTCTTGCTTTAGTATTAATAATACTTTAGTCTTCATCTCTCACCAATAGGACATATTCTAGAAGAGAATGAAGAAGTTGCACGGGAGGTGTAGAGTACTTTTGGCCAGCAGCAAGTTCTGTGATTACATCAGGAAATAAATACTCTTCCACTAATCCTTCAAGTATATACCATGTGCCTCTGGACAGGTCAGTACTTTTAACCTAGGAATGAGATATCTTTGTAAGTGAAAGAACAGCTTAATAAAAAAAAAACTTACAAGAACTAACAGGAAATCTCAAAGTAAAATGTTGATAATATAATAAAACAGTGAGAAGATTATAAATAAAACAAGAATTATTACTTATTGCCTGATCCAATAAGCTGCTGTCATCTAGAAAGGCCTTCACTCTTACTGAACTGGGCTTTCATTGAAAAGATAGTAGGATTCAGAATATGCTTCTCTTCTTAGAAGATCTGAATACATCTACCCTTTTAAAAAACAAATTACAATTCACACACTCAATAACTTGTCTATAATTTATTCTGGAAAGGTATGCAAAGGAGTGTTAATATTTCCAAAAGTGCAGAGTACATCCCACAGTATACGGCTGCAGCAGTAAGATAATTAGTACCACTGAACAGCTAAAAAAAAAAAAGAGAAAAATGTAAAATCATTAAACACGTTTACGAGCACACATTATAAAACCATAAACCATGTAACTGTTGTATCTCCCTAGTTCTCCTATTCCCATATAGCATGTCAGAGAAGCAACTAATGCTACAGATAGCACAGGTATTGATCCCAGTGGATTTCAATGCTCTGAAGACCTTCTTAATGGCACAGGGCTTCCTTCTTATTCTCTGCCGCTCATGACAGCAAAACACTTAACTTTGCAAGCTTTCAGAGGACACAGAAGGATCAAATGGCTTTCATGAAATGCTGTATCTGCCCTGCAACTTCCCTGTTATTGTCTGTACTCTCAGCTTTCCAAACCTTTATTTCCACATAAATCAATCAATCAATCAATGATACGAAAGAGGAGCTGTTGAAGATCTCAGCTACATTGCTATTTACATCTTTCCTCTAGTCCAGGTTCAAGCCAAAGCTAAGATGCACAAACCAGTTGCAACCATATTGCTAACTGAAGCACAGCTTCCCTCTGCCTGATAACTTCTGTTTTGAAATCCAGCTATTTTGTTTGACCACACAGCCTGAGGCTCTGGTAAATTCAAAGAAACCGGGATAGGGAGTCACAACTGAGAGAAGCAGTCAGGAAGATCACTGTTTGGACTGCTGGGAATTAAACAGTTACATAAATTTATTGTTGCTTTAGTCCCTGACAACTTGTAGACTTTATGATCTCTGCCAAAAAAACTGTAAATGCTGAAATCATTAGGAGCTCAGGTCAAACCTGAGAAAACTTCTGAAAGAAATGATAATCTTTGTTAAATCACAGCTAAAGTCTCAGTGAATGAGCTCCACCTTAGCATTAGATATTTAGTTTCTCTGCAAATGTTTCATTTCTCAGATTCCTAATGCATGCTGTTGTTACATTAACAATAAATGAAGTCGCTCATCTAGACAATTTTCTTTTACTCAAGTCTTTGTGCATCTGCTGTTTCCAACTCACATTTATTTCAATTTTCTCGTTCATACATACACTACTAAAATCTTCACATTATTTCTTTTGGAAATAATGGTTGCATTCATACTTTTGTAATGTTAATTATATGCAAACAGCACATCTAAAGAGCAATCATAAACTTTTTAACGGCAGTCAAAGAACAACTTCTCTGTTGCCTGGATTTAAGATGTGTGAAGATGACTCAGTATATTGTGCATGCACAAGCATGTTACTACTGGCCCTCATCTGGCAGTCATACCAGCATCCGTCTTTCTATATTGTGATTGCAACAATCTCTTTAAAATTCTGGTACTAGAAGAAACAGCAACATCAATGCATTATTTGGAAAATACACTGAAACAAAGCTGTTTTGGGAGTGTGAGGCCTTTTGCATTACATTCATGAAAAGGAAGAAGTGGACAACCCGTTTTCAGCGTATTTGTAAGGGGTAAGGAAGGATGATAAAAAACTGACGGGATGAACTTTTTTCAGTATCAGGTGACACCTTCTGTAGGGCCTTAATATTCAATAAGCTGTACAAAGCTGCACTGGCTCGCATTCTGCTGATGAGGAACTAGCAGTTTCTTGTGAAGCACTGCTGGTACAACTATTAAAGCTTTGAGCTGAAACAAATTAAAAAGGAAGGTCCACAGACAGTAAGTTGTGTTTTATATAGCCTAATGTGGAAGAGAAGCTCACAAAAGAGAAATATTTTAGGGAAGATGACAGATAACAGAACACTTAGCTGAGTTAAGCCTTCCTAGAAGATGCAAACAGAGATGACTGAATATAGTACGTAGTTCTAATCTGTTAATTTAGTTCGTAGGTTTTATTTCACTTCACTAGTATTATTGGAAATGTTTATTGGAGCTGTTTTTAAAAGCCCTAAATATACTGCCTATAAAAGTCCCATATCAGATGCAAAGGCTAGCAATGGATATTCCACAAAGCAATAAGACAGTGACAGGTCATGCATAAGAAAAGTATTAGAATTAGGTTTAAAATTTCCAAACAAAAAATTGTATTAACAGTACAGAATAACAATTTCAGCTTACATGTGTTAAGAAAGCTAAAGTTTTCTTCCCATAAACTCAATAAACTAAACGTTAAATTTCAATGCAAATCTGTTCAGTAACAGAAATGCACACAGCATTTTGCCCATTAATGGTAGTGTTGGACAATGACAAAGGCATTTTACTGCTCATGTTTTAAAAATATTTTTCTCCTTTTCCTTATTGTCTCAATAGAAAGAAATAAAATAAAAAGAGATTTCTGTGAAGCCTGAGAGCTCACTTTGTCAGACTGGGACCTCACTTATATATGAAGTAACTATTTATGTAGTATGGCTCATGAAGATACCAAATCTTCAGCTACCGAGAAATACAGGAAGCTGATAGATATTCTTTAAGTGTTTCCTATTTTAACTTTCAAATAACACAAGTTACCATATAAAGTACAGTAGCTCATACCTACTATGTATAATGTTTTTAAGTACTAAGAGGTAACGTTTCGACATTATTTAAAGAGTTATTCTTAGTGTTATAGATAGAAAAGGGAAAATTTTGAAAGTATTTATTTACTTAAGATATAACAAAGACTTGATAAAACCTGTTGCTGACCTGTACCTGATTTATGGCATATATTTGGCTTAATGGGAAGAAAAATGAGAAATTAACTAAATAGTACAAAAAAAGAAATTAAGTCAAAGTAATTATGAAAACAGGACTGGAGAACATAATGTATTCTACTTGCAATCTGTGCTTCAGTACACTGTGAAACCCAGGCTTATGCTGTAAGAACAACTACTCTTTCTTTCTACAGTGAGACAACCTTTAGCTAAAGTCTGTCCCTACTGGCAAAAACATGTGAACACTGCAAGAAGTTGTGTATACGTTCTCTTTATTGCTACTGCATAAATACAGTGCTTGAATGATTTAAGATGCTTGAAATCACATAAGGGCATCTTTGCTTCTTTTCTTCTAACATTAACCGGTAAAGTTCTCTTAACCAGCAGGATTAAAGAACTCCTTTGTAATAAAGGGGGCAGTACTTAAAGTGTTGTAAGAACCAACAAAATTCAACAGTATTCCAATGATGCTCTTGAACTCTTCAATAATTTTATTAGAATTTTTGATAACGTAAATATTTTAAAATGTTTCTTCAATAGCTAATTTCACAATGAAAGTATGTTTGCCTAACTTCATAATAAAACTCCATATATGCAACATGGCCGTCTTTGTGAGAATTCTTACCTCTGGATTGCATTTATTCAGCTGGTCTTTTTGAGCAAACCTGTGCTTAACAGCCTGTAAAACAGGATAAAGTCAGCCTGCACACTGGATACCAATAAACATATTCAACAAATACTGTATAAACCCCCCCCAAATGGCAAATTTTTCTAAATGCAGTTCAAGCAAAACATTCAACATAGCAATGTATTTATATTTATCTTTTTAATATTTGGACAGCAAAATTATGAAATAGAGGATTAGTGACCTAAAAGGAAAATAATATGGGCAACTTTTCTCCGGATTTTTCCTTTTATTCTCTGCTTCTTGTTTCTGTGATTGCTATATAAGGACAGTTTTACTAGATTTGGTCCACTTAACTGCATTAAAAAATATTAAGTGTTTTCAGTTTTTCTATGGCAAAGTGCAAACTTTGGATTCCTATTGCAAGTTACCCATAATGTGAAGATATGGCAGTAGGTGCAAAAATGTGTTACTATTGTTGCTATATTTAGTTATGGCCTAGCGTTACAATCTTACTCATACATGTTACCAAAAAAGTCTTTTAGGATAGATTGTCTTTAGGATTATGATTACTCCATCTGCACATAACTACATAATAGTTTGAGGGACAGATAATCTGATAAGAAGTGCACTTGTTACGTGTAGTATACATGAAAAGTCAAAGACACCTTTATTTTTTAAAGATCTGGAGGGTATAGTCTTGATAAAATGTCACTGATAAAATATGTAGCATTTGAAGGGATATAGATTTAAGCAGCATGAGTCTTCTATTTGTTAATCTTGAGTTTAAACATTGTGTACACTGACAACTTTAAAATTCTAATTCTTCTGCTACTAAGAACTTATACTAATATAGAGGACCTGATTTTGCAGTTACAGTGCTTCATGTAAGCAAGCTCCTACAAAAATACTTACACACCATCGTCTGCATCACTGTAACTTACAGAAATAATATATCCTAACTCGAAGTAATTAATTGTTTTTTCTATAAATGATGTTTTTATTTACTAATGTAGCAAGTTTATCAGGATTAGATATGTGATGACATTAAAACAAAGGAGTGCATTTAGCTCTATTTTTTACTTGTAATAAAAACATTGATAAGAATCAACAAAATACTTGCTTTAGGATATGGCTAGTTTTAAAAATGTTAGTGTAATTCAGCTAGATTACAGGGAAGTCATAGAAAGACTAATCCAATGACATCTTGTGGAACAATATTAGCTACTACTTATCTCATATATTACACCAAGATTTCAAGTAGTCCAGCATGTCTTCCACACATCCATGCCTACCAATTACCACTACTAAATTATATTCTAGCTAATGGTATATGTAGTAAATATGGGATTATTAAACACTGCAGGTTAAAAGGCATTATTACTATTTCAAGAGATGTTAAAATATCTACTTTATTAGCTCAGTACTATAATGAAAGATAAATTTAATAATATACATTTTACATTTTCTGCTAAGAAAGCATTAAGTGATTGTTACTTACCACAGCAAAATACATATGTTTTATAACAGCATTTTTCATTTCAGCAAGCTGCATGTTAGACATGATTTGGTCGGTTTCTTGCGCAGCCAGGAAATGGTTCATTTGGATATCTTCAGTATTTTGTATTTCATTCTGTGCAGAGCAAAAAAATACCACTTTTTTTTTTAGTTTCAAAGCTAACGCTCTAAAACAGCTTTTACGTGCTAAGTCTTCCTATATATTCCATTCTAAACCCTAGTGTGCATACCCATGCTTATGTAATTGTTCAAGGGTCTACATTATGTGCCAGATAAACAGCTGGTGGCTTGGAAACAAACCACTGATGTTGCAGGAAGCTATAGCGTAGGAATTATCAGTGTAAGCTTCCCCATAATTATTTTCCTAACTGACTTGAACTCTGACCCAATCCCTGTGGCTGAAAACAAGAACTGTGTTTCCATAATGCATTCTCTCTTTGGACTTTTCAAAAACTAAAACCAAAGCCCACACCTTTTCAATTAGTCAAAAATGTAGTATGGATTTTTTAAGACATTTTTTCATCAATTTGGTTATGACCATGCATTCATTTTACAAAGGCCACTACAATGAAATCTTTCCAGTTCTTGCCTATAAGCCTGAACTAAACTAGTAATCTAAAATTTAAAAGGTGTCTGGTTTTTTTTTTTAGTAATCTATTCTCTAAGTCCACCTATCATTTCCAGCTGTTTCTTCAGCACAGGGAATGAGGAAGTATTTCTCATTCTTCTCAAGTTCAACTTGTCAAGTTTCCAACTCATTCTGAAAAGACTCTCAGCAAAGCCACAAGATAATTTTTGTTAGTAAAAAGTAACTAAAAAAAAATTTTAAAAGTTATTTCAGGATATAAGAACAATACATTTCAGTAAGAGTTTCAATATATGCTTTTCCTCAAAGATACACAGACTAAGAATAAAACACCATCTTTGTTTTAGGCAAATACACATATAACTACAAAACCAGCCTCCTCCTGCAGTGCGATGAGTTAAGAATGTAGATACAAGTGAAGTGTCCCCCTTGGTCACAGTATTGATGGCCAGTTTTTTTTGGGAGCAGGTGTGGAAGGCTTGGAGTAGCTTGCCTTCTAATTCAAACACCTAAATCTGATGGGGGAATCAAGTGTGGGAAATATGGGAAATAACAGTAGGCAAAAAAACACACTAGTGCATGCAATGATAAGATGCAAGCCATGAACAATTTATACTTTTAAGTTTTCAAGATAAAGTTTCGAACACTGCACGTTTCATCCTGTTTTCAGATTTTCCCTTAAATGTATAATTCAAACCAAAAGTATTTGGCATGTGCGTAACTATATTTCTAAACAAATACTGAGTTTGTTGCGCATTACAGAAGAGTTAAGTTTTTTTGGTGACTTGAAAAGAGCTCTAAATAGCTTTTGATGAGCTAGGGATAACCGAACTCTGATGCATTACCTAGTCTTCACTTCTTGTGGCACTTTCTGCATATTATTTTCAACATGCTTATAAAAATACTTATATTCAAACAATTTATGGTACCATCTTGGCAAAATTTTATGAATTCCAGCATGCATCCAACAAAGCATTTCAAGTCTCTGTTTAAATTCGAGACTAGCTCCCCAAAATCATGCATGTGTTTTAATATCTTGAACCAATAAATTTGACACCCTGTAGGATCAAATCATTAATGATAATCCCACAGAGTATTTTAACACTCGAGTTACGAGGTTGAGATTATAAGAACAGATACTGAAATATAAAGATGAAGCAATGACTTGGTTCAAAAAAAATCACAGCAAGAATAGTCTGAACATCAGTGCAGTTCCACTGAAAAAAAGAATATAATACGGTTTTACTGAATTCAGCATCTGGACATATATGTGGGTATTTAGAGGAGGAAGGGGGGTATTTCTTTTTGCTAGAAGTAGCAGTCAAATAGCAGGACTACAAATTTACAAAGTTGGAATGTTCTAATGAATTATGTGCCAAGTACTTCTGGAAGGGAGAGAAAAGAGCATGTCCATAACGTTCTTTGATAAAGCCTATCACATTTGAACAAGTGTTGTGATTTGATTGCCTATGTTTTATTCTTTTCCTTTTAAGAGACTAAGAGTCTTGGCAGTTTTCTGAGTTCTTTAGATGCCTTTAAGTAGAAAGCTAATGTTTTCTTGCCCTCTGAAGTGAGTTACTTCAATGAAATCTAAGAGAAAAAGATACATGCAAGTTAATGGACTGGTTAAGATGGAAACCTGTTATCACACCTGGGAGGAATTCAGGGTGCACAGCAAGAAACACTTTATTTTCATAGAGATCAATAAAAGGTGAGGTAGCCATAAAAACTTGACACTCATTCTTCTATTAAATGTAAATGTCTATCTTAGCTGAAAGGTGTAATAAAGAACAGTTTCCCTGAACAAGTTTCATTAAGAGGGTAAGTACTAGACTGAGATCCCGTGTGGATGTGTGTTTTATTCAGGGTGTAAACATTAAGACCTTTCAACCCTCTTCTCACCCTTTTGTAACAGCTTTAGTGCTCATTAAAACAGGAAGAGCAAAGTATATGCTTTGACCTGAATAATCCAATGATTTTCAAATGAAGTAGGTTATTCCTAGTAACACAGTTTTAGCTTCTACTTGCTTGCAAAGCTAGTATTTTCAATTAGCGGTTGACTAAAATCATCCTATAGTCAGAGGAACAAGGAACAGACTAAAGGAATCTTCTGAGGCCTTTGAGTAATTCCAGGTCAAAATGCTAAGAAGTTCTGAATAGCGCATCCGGTAAGCAAACAACTATGAATCATGAGGCATCTCTCTCTCTCTCTCTCTCAAAGGAAATAGTAAAAGAAAAATTCTAGTTCTAGTGAATTCCGCACATACAGGAAAATTCACTGAACAGTGACACATCCCCTCATAGTTTAGATGGAAAGATGAAAGAGAAACAAGCTGCTTTTCTTGCTCTGACTTATCTTTTGCATCACTGTAAATTTAACTCCTGATCCAATTTTGGAGCTGAATGGTAAACCTAACACTCTGAACCATTTGATACTGTGCTGGATGCCTCATCTGGCTTAGCCATTCCAACAAAAAACGCTGCCTCTCTGGAATGATGACTTTTAGCATGGCTTCTCTCTTCAAATAAGGTCCATCCAGGTCCTCATGTCTTGGTGGATCTGATGATGTACTGTCTCATGTTCTAGTTTAGATAACAGAAGAAAGCTATTACAGGGACTTCGGAGAATCCCCTTCCACCAACCAAGAAATACAGAGCTTACATTCTCAAGAATTTAACATTTTTGACTAGTAAAAGAGAAAGAAGTTTTGTCATGAATGGTGACAGGTTTTCTAACATGGAGAGAGACAAAGCTGAATCTAGGCTTTGTGCACGTGAGCATCATAGGATTTGATTTGTAAGGACTCATTAACATTTTCTGAAACGCAGACAACTACGTCCCTTCTGACTCCACAGATGAGAGTTCTGCAAATGGAGACGCATTACAGTATATAAACTGTTGGTATATGAGACATTCTTAACAAGTCTTCTTGCCATGCTAAGCTCTTCTCACAAGGTTGCTGGTTGCTTATAGAATCCTTTAGTTTAAATTCTTTTGTCTACAAGTATGGAATGATCTTTCTACAGCAATGGAGTTAAAGGTATGCTCAGATAGCAGTTCATACAACTATTTTAGGAAATTATAATTCTTGCAGCATCGAGCTCAGTGCATTGATTGAAAAGGGAATCTAAGTGACTAGCTTACATTAGATTCCCAGCACAGAAATACTGTGAGTGAATTTCCTCTGCCTAGTATACAGTCTCCTTATGAAATTCACATTGCAATCACCAGTTCTTCCCAGCCATGAAGGACGGATAGAGAACTGATTTTGAGTTAAGAATCTGAATTTTAACAAAATAATGTACAGACTATTTTACCATAATCTATCTATAACATTATGAAAAAAAGGTAGAATATTTGAGGTCAGCTGACAAAAGAAGTTATTGAAGCATGAAGATACCATTACAATACAGCTTCATAGTGTGTGCCAAACCCAGTAAAAATACATATATTCACATACATACACAGACAGATACATACATACACACATTTGAAATCCTTACCAAATAAAGAGAATATAAATGAAAAATTGGTATTTTGTGAATAACTGTTTAGTTGATGGTCACCTACACTGGAACTTCCTCCTGAACTCTAACTAATTTTTCCAGTAATAGTAGCACAAAGCAGGAGCCAAGGAAGAACATGAAGAGGAAGAAGAAATAATGTATGCTTCCTTGATGTTATTTCTTCTGGTCTGAAACAAAACACTGCTTTTGGAAAGACAATTTTTCTACTACAGAATCAGAGAATGGTTGAAGTTGGAAGGGCTCTCTGGAGGACATCTGGTACAACACCCCGGCCCAAGGAGGGCCACCTAAAGCCAGTTGCCCAGTACCATGCCTGGACAGCTTTCGAGTATCTTCAAGGATGGAGACTCCACAGCCTCTTTGGGCAACCTGTTCCAGTGCTCCATCACACTCACAGTAAAAAAAAAGTGTTTCCTGACTTTCAGACAGAACCTCCTGTGCTTCAGTTTGTGCCCATTGCCTCTTGTCCTGTCACAGGGCACCACTGAAAACAGCCTGGCTCTGTCTTCTTTGCACTCTCCCTTCAGGTATTTATATACATTCATGAGCCTTGCCTTCTCTTCTCTTGGATAAACAGTCCCAGAATCAGAAAGTTGTATCACCTTTAATCAAATTACAAAACATTCAGGCTGATCATATCCCCCTCTATTATTAATGCCGCATTATTTACAGTAATCAGTAAACCTGACAAAAATTGCTAACAATGAAAAACTAATTCTAGATATGTTTTTTAATTTACTTACCTCAAAAAGGTAATCTCCTAGATATTGCAAAGGGTAGTATCGAGCTTCAGAGAGACATCTTTTGTTTTGCATCAGAAACATTTTATTATTGATGAATATATGAGTTATATTGCGCTCTGCATTTTGAGATGAACATATGGTTGCCTTTCCAGCTTGAAGAACTCTAAATAAACATATTTGGAAAGATGTATTTACTGCATTATATTAATACTGCCTAAAGCTACCTTACCATTCACAAACCACAAGCATGCAGGTGCAAGAGAATAAGGGTTCTAGATGTCTGACACTGCCCAACCTTCATTAGGAGGATAAAAGGGTGCTTAACAGCCTTCAGAAAAGGGAAGAACCCACTTAACAAGACATCCTTCTCTTCACAGTTTAACACTATTTATTAAATCAATGTACACCTCCGACATATCTGATAGAAAGCTTTATCTGTGCATTTTTTCAAAGATCAAATTTGGTGACAGCAGCTATAATTTATTGCGTTATGTCCCCCACAATGATGACGGTCTTTCAGTTAAGTTTTACAATAAGTGGTTTACCAAAAATGGAACACTGCTTTTCTGAACCATAACATGATCTTTTCATAATACAAATACACTTTTTGACTTAATTTTGGAGTCATTTACAGCATTTGGTGCTGTCCAATATCATACAGAGAAAACAGATTCGTTTGTCTTTGGGACACCATTACGTGTAAGAGTTTCCCCAGGGGCAATTTCCAGAGTTGTACTGCTGCAACTATTCCTATCTTTTAGAAAAGACACCTGGTGTAAGAAATAAGGTCTCCTGACATGCTGGATATATGTTTTATTTTTCATCATACAGCTATGTAAAAAGAAAATGATGCTGGTCTAACACACTTACGCATCCAACAGCTAGGCACTAAAGGCAGGAAAAGCATAGAAGGGGGGGAAAAAAGGCACAATGTTGTAAATATTAGAGAAAAATCAATCTTTCCCCAAAGCTACAGTGGCCTTTATGACTGAAGACAGTATTTGCTGGAGACAAAAAATATCTTTGATTCAGTGTTTTCTGACTAACTAAAAGGATCCCCACGTTGGTGTATTGGAAAGAGTCTGGAAAAAGAGGTTCCTTCCACAAAACTGCCTGTTCACCTGTCTTGCTGATGTAGTTCCTGTTAAAGGTTATTTCATTGCGAACAGAGGGTTGTGCAAGACAGCATTTTGATAGTGTTATCATGAAGATCTGCATAAACATTTTTTACGGAAAAAGAAACAGCATTTTTCACAAGTGTAGCAGGATGACTGCATCTTTCTGCAAGACAGCACATAGAAAACTCTTCTGCTCAGCCAAGAAAATAGCATACTTAGAATGTCTTCAGTTGGCAAAATCAGAAGATGGTAACTTCAGCTACACCTCACTTTGTCTTTAGGAACTGCAGGCAGACAGGCATTCCGTGACGCAGCATGCAGCCCTGTACCATCATCAACCAAACCGCACTTGCCTTCTTGCCTGTGCCTCTGTGCCACCTCTAGACCTGAGAAGTACTCCTAACTAACTGGGATTTCCACAGAGAAGGACAGTAGGACAGTATCTGCTCCTGCAATGAACATAAAGCTCTAAAACAGTGTCCAGGGGATGTTTGCTTTTACTGTACCAGAAGCAAACATTACTTAATATGCTCTGTTTGAGATTCAATGCAGTATTTAAATCACGGAATCCAAATGTGTAGGAAGAGTATGGGGAAAAAAAAAAAATGTAGTCCCAGAATTGCACTTCAGTTGTTTTCCTTTTCTCTGCCTTTTCTTTATACTTTTGTCCTTCCCCTTCTGAACTATCTGTATTTACATATCAGAAACATCTGTTACAGTACAATTAGGTCTTCAGAACTACAAGAAGCTGTTGCATAGATGTGACACAAAACCCGGTCAGGTCAGTCACAGTGTGGCCCCAATCCATAAGACACAGTTCACAGCTGGCTCAGGTCACTCACCCAAGTGAAATAATATTATCCTGTTCCAGCTACCATTTGAGTGTAACATCCAAACAAAAGAAATGATTACTCATAAAAAACTTAAGCCTATGTATCTTGCCTCATGAAGGAAGTTTCTGTAAGTAAACTGTAAGCAGTTTACTTAAGCTGCAAACATATGAGAATGCGTGTTATTTTTGACACTATACTAAAAGAAAGCAAGGAAAACAGTGAAGTTAAAAATTTAAAGTAATTTTATTGTAAAAAAGTATGGAAGTATATGAATGAAAACAATTAGTTTGAAGAGCTGATGGTTGTTATGGACCAAATTAACTGGGATGGAAGAATAAAAATGTGTTCAACCATACAGTAAGTGTTCCATCATTCATTATTTAAGCTTTAAGACATATCCTCCTACCTTCTAATAGACGCCATTCGTTTATCACCTTCCTTAACAGGAAGGACAACTTTCCATCTGTGGAAGGCCCCTGGAGCACTAGAGTGTGTCAGTTCTTCGCGCCATCTTTTAGGTGCAGATTGCATTTGAGGTGAATAATGGGTGTCTTTTTCATATCCCCATTCGTACGTTGTTTCATCAAGCCATCTGCCACTTTCAGCACTATTAATTATGTACTCCTTAGTTAGTATCCACTTCCCTAAAAAGCAAATGAACTGTCAACCACAAAAGATTTTTTGTGCAGACAAATGGCAATCAACTGAAGATCTAATATAAAATTAACTTCAACCTTTCTCGTGCAAATAAAAACTGGAATTATAAGTACCATTTAAAAAACTTCCTACTACAAGTGTTCTCCTATTCACACTTTAAAATCAGAAGTCTCATAAGGCCACTGGAAATGATCGTTTTGCTTTAACAATGAAGTATCTTTTTACCCTTCCTAGATAAAATACTTGTCTATCTACCTCCTCAAAAACCTACAAACGGAATTTTTCAGCTTCCTAGATTTTGTTCTTATGACTTCCACAGAATCTTGCTTAACCCCTTATTTTTAATATCATTTGACACTTTTAAAAATGTACTAAAGTGTAGTAAATTGAAGAAATATTTTACCACCAATGATTAAAAAGAGGAATGAAGGTTCTAGCATGTAAGCTGTTTCTTTTACATCTTCTTAATATTACTTGCACTGCAAGTGTAGTGAATAACAGTATTAGGGGGATACGGTTTTAGACTTTTGTCTTTCCCCTTTCTTCTTTTCACATCTTTTTCTCTCATCCCTTGGCTCCACCTCCTCCGCCTCTCCTCTTTCATCTTCCGCATGTATGCTTTTGATACCGTATGTAATGATCTTCCCCTTTTTCTCTGTCTCTCTCTTCTTACAGGTTCAGGTCAAGAGCCGTGGTTAGTACCCTGCTCCTGTATTGAAACACTACCTACAGAAGATACTGTAAGAGAAATTGACTTGAATTGTGTGAACCTAATTGGTTTCACAGAACAGCAGGGTTGACTGGCAAAATGTCTCAGTGCAGGAGCACAGATGGTACTTCTACATAACCTAGCATAGGTACCAGTAGACTTAGGACTGGAAAAGCTATGCTGTGCCCAACCTGTATGCTAAAATCACTTTCATTTCAAAGTTTGCAACTCAAAACTTCTGTCAGCTAGGAAGTCAATGAAGACTGGCATCCTTGTTAGTATTTCTGTTCACCTCTAGGGAGTTTTAAATGGGTTTAAACATGATCTTTTACACTTACTTGGCAAAAAATGCAGTAGGAATGAACACACTCTCTCTGCCATCAAGGACAAGAGCAATGATGATGCAAAAATAGCACCTCTTCCAGGATTAAAAAGTACTGAATGGTATTGGGGAAGATTTGCAAGTATAGAAACGTGACAGAGTTTTGCACTGCCATGTGGACACTACATATATCGTTTCCTCTCAGTTCAAGAAAACATCTCCAGATGTTTTAAATCTCGAAAAGTAAGAAAACATTAACTCAGAGGGTTATAATAGTTAAAATGAAGTGCTATGCCACAAATCTATCTGCATTTTAATACTGTTTCCCTCATTGAAACTCTTGGTCTATTTCCTTTTTGATTAGAGTGCAATCAGAACTTTACATTAGTACAAGGAATCATCCATATATATATATGCACCTCCCCCCCCCAAATTCTACCAGTGATAGATGATTGAAAGTACCTGTTAATATGGTATGTAAGTACAAATATGAAATCAATAAATTTACTTATATCTTTAAACCCAAATCTACATTATTTCTGTCTGTTATCTCCTAAATTTAAGATTATACATCCTAAGAATTGCTTTAACACTTTGGTATAATACGATATAGGGAAAATAAAGATCACGTTTAACCAGTTAACAGATCAGTACTGCGAAATCTCATAACTCCACAAGATTTTCTAAACTCTACATAAAATCCTTCCATAATCTCTCTATAAAGAAATCTTAAAATACAGAATTCTCATTCTAAAAGTATTTCAGTTGCTTATGTATGGGATTTCAGCATTAGGCCTTAGGTAAAAGAAAAGCAAGAGGAAAGATCAGAGGCTTGTGTCAGAACAGCAAAAGCCTGGAATTTCCTCTCACTGCATAAACAGGAACTTACAGACAGTGACCTTTACCAGTGAATGTTGTGTGTGAATTTGGCATCAAAAATCCATGCTGACTACAGGTATCCATACTCAATCTGCTCCCTTTTCAAGCGATCCCATTTTTAAGCACCCGTATCATTTGGATATGACTTCACGATCTAACTAATACACAACAAAGCTTTCTGTCTGGGAACAGATGCAGATCAAATAAAGGAAGACGGCAGGAATGTAATTTAGGAAAAAACCCAAAATAAAAAGAAGTAAGTCAGAACTTGAACATAATACCACGTTAAAAATCAAAGTTAATGGAACAAGAAGAATGAGGGTTAGCAAGACAGTTCACTCATGAAATGAAAACAGGTAACTAGAAACCTTTTAAGGGTCCTTTCAAGCCCTATGTTATGATCCTATGAACATTTACAGCAAATCTTTTACTCACCTGCAGCACAGGCAGCTAAGAACTTTTCACTCTTGCACAGCTTTTTTGCTATAAGATGTGTACAATTTCTGTATTTCTAATAAAACAAAAACAGAACAACATGCTTGCATCACTTGAAAAAGTTTAACTTTCTTGGCTATTTATACACAACTCTAAACTACCGCACAGCCCTGTATTTTAAGGCTCGCATTTTTGCTTTCTAATCTAACCATCAGGTGCTTTAGTGAACAATACCTTATTATCTAAAAAAACACAGTCCAGTTTGAACAGCCATTTGAGTAGTGCCTTTTTCTCTTGTTTTTTAAATCCAGTTAATTGGATTATCCGTTTCTGGCTGCCACTTGCCATCTGTTAAAAGGAAAACAAACGAAAAGGGAACATTAACACACAAAATACACACCACAAAACGTCGCTTGCATGATCTTACTAGTACTTCCTACTTCTTTTCCGAGAAAAAGGGAAAACACACCGCGAGGAATCAACACTACGCGACGGCGGTACACCACGTTTGAAGCTGTCACTGCCAGCCCCAGTCAGGACACCTGAAAGGCGGTAACGGGGCAGGCCAGACCCCCCCACACTGCGACCCACAAGAGGCCGAGCCCCCCCCCCCGGTG